ACCACTGTGGTTAATACAGTACCACTGTGGATAATACAGTACCACTGGATAGTACCACTGGTTAATACAGTACCACTGTGGGTAGTACCACTGTGGATAATACAGTACCACTGGGTAGTACCACTGTGGATAATACAGTACCACTGGGTAGTACCACTGTGGATAATACAGTACCACTGGGTAGTACCACTGTGGTTAATACAGTACCACAGGGTAGTACCACTGTGGATAATACAGTACCACTGTGGGTAGTACCACTGTGGATAATACAGTACCACTGTGGGTAGTACCACTGTGGATAATACAGTACCACTGGGTAGTACCACTGTGGATAATACAGTACCACTGGGTAGTACCACTGTGGTTAATATAGTACCACAGGGTAGTACCACTGTGGATAATACAGTACCACTGTGGGTAGTACCACTGTGGATAATACAGTACCACTGTGGGTAGTACCACTGTGGATAATACAGTACCACTGGGTAGTACCACTGTGGATAATAAAGTACGACTGTGGATAACACAGTACCACTGTGGATAATACAGTACCACAGGTAGTACCACTTTAGGTGATAAAGTACCACTGGATAACAGTACCACTGGGTGATACAGTACCCTTGTGGATAATACAGTACCACTGTGGATAATACAGTGCCTCTGTGGGTAATAAATTTGATCCCATGTATCAGAAATCTGTCCTACGACGATAGACTGAGGGCACTGTCTATCCTACGACGATAGACTGAGGGCACTGTCTATCCTACGACGATAGACTGAGGGCACTGTCTATCCTACGACGATAGACTGAGGGCACTGTCTATCCTACGAGGATAGACTGAGGGCACTGTCCATCCTACGAGGATAGACTGAGGGCACTGTCTATCCTACGAGGATAGACTGAGGGCACTGTCTATCCTACGAGGATAGACTGAGGGCACTGTATCCTACGAGGATAGACTGAGGGCACTGTCTATCCTACGACGATAGACTGAGGGCACTGTCTATCCTACGAGGATAGACTGAGGGCACTGTCTATCCTACGACGATAGACTGAGGGCACTGTCTATCCTACGAGGATAGACTGAGGGCACTGTCTATCCTACAAGGATAGACTGAGGGCATTGTCTATCCTACGACGATAGACTGAGGGCACTGTCTATCCTACGACGATAGACTGAGGGCACTGTCTATCCTACGAGGATAGACTGAGGGCACTGTCTATCCTACGAGGATAGACTGAGGGCACTGTCTATCCTACGAGGATAGACTGAATTTGCTTACAGTGATGAGCATGAGTTAGACCTACCTAGCATGGGCTAGTAGGCCTGCTGCAATGATGACCATGAGTTAGACCTACCTAGCATGGGCCAGTAGGCCTGCTGTAATGATGACCATGAGTTAGACCTACCTAGCATGGGCCAGTAGGCCTGCTGTAATGATGACAGTGAGTTAGACCTACCTAGCATGGGCTAGTAGGCCTACTGTTCGTAATTCAGTTACAGAAAACTTTAATTGTAAAGAAGAAAACGTAAATAATTTATGGGTAAACTTGGCAAAATTTAAATATTTCACCAAGGGGAAAATAGGCCTAAGATAGGATTATTAACCCAAAATGATTATCCTAGAATAACCCCAAATGGTTATTATCCTAGGATAACTTAGGATTATTAACTCCAAATAGTTATTATCCTAGGATAACACTGGATTATTCATCTCGGATGGTTTAATATCCCAGGATAAGCCAGACAATGATCCTTACTCCCTCCCCCAGGATGCCACCAACAAGTCACCTAACACCCAGGTACCTACTTACTGCTAGGTGAACACTGACAGCAAGTGTAAGGTAATTAACACCCAGGTACCTACTTACTGCTAGGTGAACACTGACAGCAGGTGTAAGGTGACTAACACCCAGGTACCTACTTACTGCTAGATGAACACTGACAGCAGGTGTAAGGTAACTAACACCCAGGTACCTACTTACTGCTAGGTGAACACTGACAGCAAGTGTAAGGTAATTAACACCCAGGTACCTACTTACTGCTAGGTGAACACTGACAGCAGGTGTAAGGTAACTAACATCCTGGTACCTACTTACTGCTAGGTGAACAGTGACAGCAAGTGTAAGGTAACTAACACCCAGGTACCTACTTTACTGCTAATTGAACCCCTGACAGCAAGTGTAAGGTGACTAACACCCAGTCCCTACTTACTGCGGGTGAACACTGACAGAAGTGTAAGGTGACTAACCCCAAATTACCTACTTACTGCAGATGAACACTTGACTAGAAGTCTAAGGTAAACTAACACTCAGGTCCCTTACTTACTGCTAGGTGAACACTGACAGAAAGGTGTAAGTAACTAACAAGGGTTTACCTACTTACTGCTAGGTAGCAGTGATCGATCCCGCCTCAGGATCGTTCACGGGTTCTTTCATTAACTTTAAACCACAGATCACCTAATTACCACATTAAAAAACTCACTAATTAGGAGACCACCTGAACCTTCACCTTCCTACTGATCAAGGTGACTCATTGACGAAAATACATTACCATCATTCAGTCAGTAACTGCCCTGATGTATAATACATTAAGTATAATACAGCCCAAATACATAGAGTTCATACATACATATGTACATAGTGTACAATGTACATCATGTACATAGTGTACAATGTACATGATGTACATAGTGTACAATGTACATGATGTACATAGTGTACAATGTACATGATGTACATAGTGTACAATGTACATGATGTACATAGTGTACAATGTACATGTACATAGTGTACAATGTACATGATGTACATAGTGTACAATGTACATGATGTACATAGTGTACAATGTACATGATGTACATATGTACAATGTACATGATGTACGTAGTTACACTGTACAGGGGAATGTACATATGTACAATGTAAAATGTACATAGTGTACAATGTACATGATTTTACGTAGTGTACAATGTAACATGATGTACATAGTGAAACAATGTACATGATGTACATAGTGTACAATGTACATGATGTACGTAGTGTACAATGTACATGATGTACGTAGTGTACAATGTACATGTACATAGTGTACAATGTACATATTGTACAATGTACATGATGTACATAGTGTACAATGTACATGATGTACATAGTGTACAATGTACATGTACATAGTGTACAATGTACATGATGTACATAGTGTACAATGTACATGATGTACATAGTGTACAATGAAACATGATGTACGTAGTGTACAATGTACATAGGTTACAATGTAATGATGTACATAGTGAAACAATGTACATGATGTACTAGTGTACAATGTACATGATTTTACTAGTGTACAATGTACATGATGTACGTAGTGTACAATGTACATGATGTACATAGTTTTCGTTTGTACATGATGTACATAGTGTACAATGTACAGATGTACGTAGTACAATGTACATGATGTACGTATGTACAATGTACATGATGTACTTTAGTGTACAATGTACATGATGAAAGTAGTGTACAATGTACATGATGTCTATGTACATGTACATGATGTACTTAGTGTACAATTACATGATGTACGTAGGAAACAATGTAAAAGATACGTAGTATACAATTTGAAACATGATGTAATAGTGTACAATGTACATGATGTACATAGTGTACAATGTACATGATGTACATAGTGTACAATGTACATGATGTTCATAGTGTACAATGTACATGATGTACATAGTGTACAATGTACATGTACATAGTGTACAATGGTCTTCAGTGTACACTAAAACATGGTCAACATTAAATGTATTTTGCAACAAATTTATTATACAATATTATGCAAGAAAATGAGATCTTGATGTGACATAACTATGTGATGTAACTATGTGATGTAACTATGTGATGTATCTATGTGATGTAACTATGTGATGTAACTATGTGATGTAACTATGTGACAACTATGTGATGTATCTATGTGATGTAACTATGTGACAACTATGTGATGTAACTATGTGACAACTATGTGATGTAACTATGTGACAACTATGTGATGTAACTATGTGACAACTATGTGATGTAACTATGTGACAACTATGTGATTAACTATGTGACAACTATTTTGATGTAATTTATGTGACAACTATGTGATGTAACAATGTGACAACTATGTGATGTAAACTATGTACAATTTATGTGATAGCTATGTGATGTAACCAGGGACAACTTGTAAATTATCTGTGATGTGACTAAGTGATGTGACTAGGATGTAACTATGTGAGTAAACTATGTGACAACCTATGTGATGTAACTATTTTATGTAACATGTGACAACTATGTGTGTAACTATTGATTGTAATTGGGAAAACTATGGGGATTAACTGACAACTATGTGATGTAACTATGTGACAACTATGTGATGTAACTATGTGACAACTATGTGATGTAACTATGTGACAACTATGTGATGTAACTATGTGACAGCTATGTGATGTAACTATGTGACAACTATGTGACATAACTGTATGTTACAAAATTGTATGTTACATAACCATGTCACATAACTGTATGTTACATAACCATGTCACATAACTGCATGTTACATAACCATGTCACATAACTGTATGTTACATAACCATGTCACATAACTGTATTTACAAATCAGTCACATAACTGTATGTTACATAACCATGTCACATAACTATGTTACATAACCATGTCACATAACTGTATGTTACATAACCATGTCACATAACTGTATGTTACATAACCATGTCACATAACTATGTTACATAACCATGTCCATAAACGCATTTACATAACCATGTAAACAAACTGTATGTTACATACCATGTCCCCTAACTATGTTACCATAACTATGTCACATAACTGCATGTTACATAACCATGGTCACATAACTGTATGTTACATAACCTGCCCACATAACTGTAATGTTAATAACCATGTCACATAACTGTATGTTAAAATAACTATGTCACAAAAAACTGCATGTTACATAACCATGTCACATAACTATGTAACATAACCATGTCACACTACATGTTACATAACCATGTCACATAACTGCATGTTACATAACTATGTTACCACACTGACCACATCAGTGTACTTTTGTTCCACATTGTTCATGATACAGTGTCACTGTTATGTACATTGTTCAGGGTACAGTGTCACTGTTATGTACATTGTTCATGGTACAGTGTCACTGTTATGTACATTGTTCATGGTACAGTGTCACTGTTATGTACATTGTTCAGAGTGCAGTGTCACTGTTATGTACATTGTTCAGGGTACAGTGTCACTGTTATGTACATTGTTCATGGTAGTGTCACTGTTATGTACATTGTTCAGGGTGCAGTGTCACTGTTATGTACATTGTTCATGGTACAGTGTCACTGTTATGCAGGTTGTTCATGGTACAATGTCACTGTTATGTACATTATTCTGAGTACAGTGTCACGTACATACATTGTTCAGGGTACAGTGTCACCGTTATGTACATTGTTCAGGTTACAGTGCCACTGCTATGCACATTGTGCAGGGTACAGTGTCACTGTTATGTACATTGTTCAGGGTACAGTGCCACTGCTATGCACATTGTTCAGGGTACAGTGTCACTGTTATGCACATTGTTCAAGGTACAGTGTCAATAACAGTGACTACAGCTGCTGTACATTACATACAGCATCACCCAGGTGTGTGGACAGATATATTACAGTGACAAGCACTGTTATGCTAACCATTACAGCCACATGACTGTACCAGGAAGTCAGGTATTTGCATGTGTTCCACCCGGTCAGTACCAGACCTGAACAACACCTGCATGGAGGTGTAGCTGGTGGGTGAACAACAGGGAGCTAGAGCTTGTCTCAACCATGACTCTCTCTCTCGTAACACCAGCATCTGTAATACAATAATACAATACAACAATACTGCATTACAACAATACATTAATGCATTTTGGCATAATTTATACAAATTTATACAAATCCACTGACTGACTGATTGTATCTGTCTGTAGCCCCTCACACATGTGCACACACACAAACACATATGGGGCCAGGGGCTGTGAATCAACCAAAGCAACCACAAATAGGTGAGTACACACACACGCAGGTCAAGTTAACGAGGAAAATTCAGTCGGAGGAGGACCAGGCAGGACTACAAAGGGATCTAGACAGGCTGCAAGCCTGGTCCAACAACTGGCTCCTGGAGTTTAACCCCACCAAGTGCAAAGTCATGAAGATCGGGGAAGGTCAGAGAAGACCACAGACAGAGTACAGGCTAGGTGGCCAAAGACTGCAAACCTCACTCAGGAAAGAGGATATTGGGGTGAGTATAACACCAAGCACATCTCCTGAGGTGCACATCATCCAGATAATTGCTGCAGCATATGGGCGCCTGGCAAACCTGAAAATAGCATTCTGGCATCTCAGTAATGAGCCGTTCAAGATTCTGTACACCGTGTACATCAGACACTGTACACCATGTACGTAAGGCCTATATTGGAGTATGCAGCACCAGTGTGGAGCCCACACCTGGTCCAGCATGTCAGGAAATTGGAGTAAGTGCAAAGGTTTGCAACAAGACTAATCCTGGAGCTAAGGGGAATCACCTATGAGGAAAGGTTAAGGGAACTCAGCCTGACAGAAGGATAGTAGGGACATGATAACAACACAAAATACTGAGAGGAACTGACAAGGTGGACAGAGACAGGATGTTTCAGAGATGTGACACAAGAACAAGGGGATACAGCAACAAGGGGACACAGCAACAAGGGGACACAACACCTAGGGGTCACAGCAACAAGGGGACACATCAACAAGGAGACACAGCAACAAAGGGACACAACACCTAGGGGTCACAGCAACAAGGGGTCACAACTGGAGGTTGAAGACTCAGATGAGTCACAGGGATGTTAGAAAGTATTTCTTTAACAATAGAGTTGTCAGTAAGTGGAATTGTCTGGAGAGTGATTTAGTGGAGGCAGGATCCATACATAGCTTTAAGATGAGGTATGATAAAGCTCATGGAGCAGGGAGAGAGTGGACCTAGTAGCCACCAGTGAAGAGGCAGAGTCAGGAGCTGTGACTCGACCCCTGCAACTACAGTTAGTGAGTACACACACACACACACACACACACATTAACATAAATGAAAAAATGTATCATTAAATGTATAAGAGAAATTTTTAGAAAGGACTTAACTTTAAATGAGTTCTTGCTAATTGACCAGTTTTACCTATTCGGCACGACATTGTATATATATATATATATATATATATATATAATATATATATAATATATATATATATATATATATATATATATATATATATATATATATATTATATAATTTTTTTTTTTTTTTTTTCAACAAGTCGGCCGTCTCCCACCGAGGCAGGTGACCCAAACAAAAAACGAAAAGAAAAATCCCCAAAAGAAAATACTTTCATATTTATTCAACACTTTCACACCTCACACATTATCACTGCTTTTGAGAGGTGCTCAGAATACAACAGTTTAGAAGCAATATGTATAGAGATACACAACATATCCTCAAACTGCAATATCCCAAACCCCTCCTTTAAAGTGCAGGCATTGTACTTCCCATTTCCAGGATTCAAGTCCGACTATATGAAATATATTAATATAAAAATATATTATATATTTATATATATATATATAATATTAATAATATATATAAAATATTATATAATATATATTTAATATTATATATATATATATATGCACACACCTACCATCCGACTTATGACCGAGTTCGGTTCCGAGAAACAGGTCGTAAGTCGAAATGGTCGTAAGTTGAACTTTACTACTGAATATCAACAAAACATTTTTGTAATGACTTTATTGTTTTATTTTGGTATTTCATGTTTTACTTTACTTTTTATGTTGTTAGTACTGTATTTTATACTATAAGGTTTAAGATAAACACTCTGTACAACACAAATAGTTGTTTATTTCCCAGAAATTTGGCATAAAAAAACACGGTCATAAGTCGAGTGGTCGTAAGTCGGATGGTAGGTGTATATACAGTGGTCCCTAGTTTATCGTAATTAATCCGTTCCTGGAGGTGTTACTATTATCGAAATTCACGATTTTCGAATCAATTTTCCCCATAAGAAATAATGTAAATACAATTAATCCATTCCTGACACCCAGAAGTATTAAAACAAAAAAATTTTTTACATGAAATATACATGTAGTACATAAACAATACAATGGGACATGATGAATGAAACATTAACAGCATAACACTTACCTTTATTGGTGATTCTTCTTAGTGTATGGAAGACTGGAGGAGGAGAGAGAGTGGATTGTTTATAGTTTGGAAGGGGAATCCCCTTCCATCAACACCTCAGGTACCAAGTGCTTTTCTGGGGTTACTTCTCTTCTCTGTTTCTTAATGCCACTAGGACCAGCTTGAGAGTCACTGGAGTCCTGTCCCGCAAAAAAACTCTCCAGAGAGCTTTGTTTCTGGCGTATCTTTAACACTTCCCTAAAATGGGCAAAGACTTTGTCACTGTACATGTTGCCAACATGGCTTGCAACAGCCTTGTCAGGGTGATGTTTCTCCATAAATCTTTCCATCTTACCCCACATTTCAAAAATCTCCTTAATTTTTGAAGAAGGCAACTTCTTCCATCTCTCTTCCTCCTCCTCTGCAGCAAGATTCTGAACTGCAATCTGTTCCTGTTCCTACTGAAGCTCTTGCAGCTCCTCAGTGGTTAGCTCTTCGTTGTGGTCTTCTACCAACTCTTCCACATCCTCCAAACTCACATCCAACCCCATGGAACTCCCCAGTGCCACAATAGAGTTCACAACTGACATAGGCTCATCAGGGGCTGCCTTAAACCCTTCAAAATCCCTCTTGTGGACACAATCTGGCCACAATTTTCTCCAAGTACAGTTCAAAGTCCTGGCAGTCACTCCCTCCCAAGCCTTACCTATAAGGCTTGATGCAATGGAGGATACTGAAGTGTTCTTTCCAAAACTCTCTTAGGGTCAAGTGAGTGTCTGAGGTCACATTAGAGCACCTGTGAAACATTGCTTTGGTGTAGAGTTTTTTAAAGTTTGCAATGACCTGCTGGTCCATAGGTTGGAGGAGAGGAGTGGTATTCGGGGGCAAGACCTTTACTGTGATGAACCCAAACTCCTCGAAAATTAGGTCATCCAAGTTTGGAGGATGAACAGGTGCATTGTCCATTACTAGGAGGCACTTGAGATCCAATTTCTTTTCCAGGAGGTAATTCTTAACACTAGGGCCAAACACTTCATTGAACCACTTGACGAAAATTTCCCTCGTGACCCATGCCTTACTATTAGATTTCCAAAACACAACACATAACATTGTTTTTCCTGAACACTCTGGGATTTTCAGAATGGTACACTAGTAACGGCTTCACTTTGAAATCCCCACTAGCATTAGCCAGAACATGAGCGTCAGCCTGTCTTTCATAGGCTTGTGTCCTGGCAGTGCCTTTTCCTCCTGAGTAATGTAGGTCCTCTTTGGCATTTTCTTCCAAAAGAGGCCTGTTTCATCACAATTGAACACTTGTTCAGGTTTCAGTCCTTCAACCTCTATGTACTCCTTGAATTCATGCACATATTTTTCAGCCGCTTTGTGGTTCGAACTGGCAGCCTCACCATGCCTTACCATACTGTATATGCCACTACGGTTCTTATATCTCTCAAACCAACCTTTGGGGCCTTTAAATTCACTCACATCCCCCTATTGCGGGCAAATTTCTTTCCCAGATCGTAGTGCAAACTCCCTAGCCTTTTCACAAAAATCGACGTCATAAGACAACTCCTATAATTGTTTCTCGTTTATCCAAAACCAATAATATTCTAAACCCTTTGGGTACTGATGCCCTTTTTTTGTCACATATTTACCCCCTTTTTCAACAAACGTCCCTTTATTTTCCCTTTTTTTTGGCAGATGGAAGCTATGGTTGTAGGGGGTTTGTTATATATCCTGGCAGTTGGGCCATACGTACACCAACTTTCATATTGTTAAAATGATGTTTTTTTTAAAATTTCCCAATGTATTTCTCACCTTCTTTACCAAAGGCTTGGCATGGCTTTCTTTGGTGCCTTGGTAGCTTATTTAGTAGTTGCAAGCACTAAAATGAATGGAATATTATGAAATATTTCGTAATGAGCAAGGGGAGGGGACCGTCGCTCAATGGTAAACAATGCCACACTGGCTGGGAAGGGAGGCTGGGGCGGCTCAGAGGGGGAGTACGCATCCCGGGAAAAAAGACTATTTGCGAGTTTTCTCGAATTTTCGGGCCCCATGTGTATAATATTTTTTATATATATATATTTAATAATATTTATATATATAAATAACGGGGGGCCCCCCTTAAAAGGGCAGGTTAGGTTCCAGGTACCGCCGAAAGCGGAAATCGCCGAAAAAGGGGAAACACCCTTTTTTCCCATTTTTAAAAATGCATCAAACACTAATAACAATTTACACTAAAAAATTTTAAATTTAGCAATGAACCAGGCATCAAAAAACAAAAAAAAAGGTAAAATACCACTAGTGCACCATTACTTCCTTTTAAAATTTTTATAGTCTTAAATCTAGGGGAGACAAGTGTATTTTTTGTAAGAAATAAAATGTGGTATGTATTGTAATAGCCAGCTACCTCACCAGGCCCCCAAACCCACACATACTATTCTATGATATTTAGCATCCCAGAGCGATTAAATGTATATACAGTTCACTCATTATTACCTTAAAATTTTGTAGTCTTAATGTAGGGTCAGGGGGTAAGTAAATGAGATAAACGAATAAATGAGGAGAGAAAGAATGAGTACATGAGAGGTAACAGGCGCAGAGTTATGTAAACAAACCAGGCTCCCACATCTTATATT